CAATATGGTGAATGGGCGATAGGTGTTGAAATTGCCTTTCTACTGGCTGAACTAAAGCAGCATGGCCACTCTTCAAAGATGGCTCCAAAGAGTCCCACCCCTCCCTGTGTGTGCATGCTGCTCCTCCATTGAAGAGGTGGCACTGACGTTCCCTCGCCTTGAATCTGGCCTGAGCCGATGACTGGTCAGTAGAATACTGGCTAACGAATCTCAGAATTCTGAGCCTTGGCATTACCAAGGCCCGGAGCCCTCGATGGATTTTGACAAGGGTTCCAGGATCATACATTAGCGGAAGAAATGGTGCTTTTCTTTAAAAAAAAAAATCATTTTATTGGGGGGCTTGTACAACTCTTTCACAATCCATCCATCCATCCAACGTGTCAAGCACATTTGTACATTTGTTGCCCTCATCATTTTCAAAACATTTTCTTTCTACTTGAGCCCTTAGTATCAGCTCCTCATTTTCCTCTTCCCTACCTCATGAACCTTGATAATTTATAAATTATTATTTTTTCTGCCGTACACTGACCGATGTCTCCCTTCACCCACTTTTGTGTTGTCCTTTCCCCCTGGGAGGGGGTGTTAGGTAGATCATTGTGATCGGTTCCCCCTATTTACCCCCACCGTCCCCTTCCCCTCCTGGTATGACTACTCTCAATATTGGTTCTGAGGGGTTTATTTATCCTGGATTCCCTGTGTTTCCATCTCTTATCTGTATCTGTGTACGTGCTTTGGTCTAGCTGGATTTGTAAGGTAGAATTGGGATGATGAGATCAGGGTAGTGGGTGGGAGGAAGCATTAAAGAACTAGAGGAAAGTTGTATGTTTCATCGGTGCTACACTGCACCTTGACCGGCTCATCTCCTCCCTGTGACCCTTCTGTAAGGGGAGGTCCATTTGTCTACAGATGGCTATGGGTCTCCACTCCTCACTCCCCTCATTCACAATGATATGATTTTTTTGTTCTGGGTCTTTGATACCTGATACCTGATCCTGTGACACCTTGTGATCACACAGGCTGGTGTGCTTCATCCACATGGACTTGGTTGCTTCTCAGCTAGATGGCCGCTTGTTTATGTTCAAGCCTTTAAGGCCGCAGACACTCTATCTTGCACCATCAGCTTTCTTTATCACATTTGCTTATGCACCTGCTGTGTCTTCAGTGATCGTGTCGGGAAGGTGCGCATCGTGGAATGCCAGGTCAATAGGACAAAGTGTTCTTGCATTGAGAAAGTACTTGAGTAGAGGCCAATGTCCATCTGCTACTTTAATACTAAATCTATCTATAAATATATGTCCATAGATCTATTTCCCCACTGTCATATAGAAATGGTGCTTTACAACAAATGGGTTTGGGATAAGTGGATGTCCACATCTAGAGAACAAAGATGAACTACTGCCTTATCCCACCTCCAACCAAACTCAAAATGAACCTAGAGCTGAAACTATCAAACTGGTAGAGGACATAGGGATATAATGTCACAGGATCGGAGGACCGTGGGGCCAGACACTCACCTCTGATTGCCATCGCACTGCAGTTGTATGAGTGACTCCAAGCGAGAGCAGTAAGAGGACTGGCCAGCAGGACCTTGGGCAACCCACGGGGCCATACAATTAAATGGTGGTGGTTTGAAGTCACCACATTTGGGGGTGTTGTATTATGTAGCAATAGATCCTTCGGACGAGCCTCGGTCCAATTCTTGCTCTAACATGGGAAATGCATATCCTACTAAAAAAAAGTCCCATCAAAGGCTTTTTCTTAAGAGAGGAACCCGAGTAGGGATATGACTTGATTATAAGAGGAAATGAAATAAGGAAGAGCAAAAGAGGCTGGGGCATGTTTAAACGGCCAAGTGAACCAACCCGGGCAGGCCTACAAGCTCTCTAAAGCACACACTGGCAGAAGAAGCCAAGCAGCCGCTTGTCCAGGGCCTGCCAGCCACTTACCAGGTGCTCCAGAGGGCTGGAAGGTCACAGTTCTCCTTACAAGAACTGACACAAATTAACCCTCTCCACTCAGTGTAGGGGGAATTTCTTCCCCTACCCTGAGAGGAAAGTAGCCCAGCTGGAGGGACAGGATGGTTAGGAATGAGGACCAATGTCAGGAGTCAGTGTCTGAGTGTTAGTGGAGAGGGCTGAGAGGGCAGGTGCTCTTGCTGCACAGGGTCATCTTCAGGGGCCTATTCTTCACATGCACTTGAATCATGATGGGCAGCAGAGAGCTTCATAGGGATTCATTTGATTTATTCATTCAACAGAGAGTTTTTTGAGAGCCTGCTGTGCCAGCAATCAGTAGTGGACCAAATAGACCAGATGGGACTCCGCTCTATTATCAAGCTTATTCTCAAGTGGGTGGGCCATTTCCCAAGAGCTCTGAGATGGGACTTGCAGGGAACTCTGGGAGCCTGTAGGAGTGGTGTGCGATCCAGATTTCTGGGATGGGCAGATTTTATAGGGAAACTGATGTGTAAGACTAGAAAACTAGGAAAAGAGGGCTAGTTCTTTATTTTCACCTTAAAATGTGTTATTTGAAAGTCAAAAGAAAAAATATCCTGCTATTCCTTAATTAGATATTTCCGTTGGCTCTTCCTATCTCTACGCCAGAGTCCTGTCACCAGGGCAGGCACCCAGGTCTGGGTCTGTGTGGTTTATTCCCTCATAACATCATGTGAGTGGACAATTATGCAGGTGCCTC